ACAGGGGAGAATACAAAGAAACTAAAATCGACAATTCAGAAGCCCTTGTTCAACTGATAGAAAAGGTGTGGTATATTACTTTCAATTCCTAAGAAAATGACAACTACTCTCTCAAAACTGGAGAGCAGCTCAGCGGTTCGTAGACAATAAATACCTTCTCAGGAAGCACCAGCAGTTGGAAGGAAGGCTAGAATTCTACAAGACGAGTACAAAAAGCGTTTCAGTCAGCTTACACAGCAAGGCCAGGACTTCCTGACAAAGGTGGGCCAGCAATTGAATTCTAAACATGTTTAATGAAGGGGAGGGAAAAAAGAACGGTGCCACTGTGATTTTTGCACCTATATTGATGGAAATTGAAACCTAAATAATCTTCAAATAAAACTCGAACAAATTTTTGATAATTTCAAGAGTGCTGACAAGAGCAGGTTGCTTAGTTGAAGTGGTGATTCAAGAAAGGGTACATTGGTAGAAGCAGCTCAAAATGCTGATCTCAATCCTGTCTTCTACTGTCTTCTCTCAATTCTGTCTATTTGCCAAAAATTCTTTAGAAGAAGGTAATGACAAGTTTTCTTCGTCGAAAACAGCTTACATAACATACGAAGGCTGAAACGCTCAAAGTACACCAAGTACAGCAACGAAAATGTTGAATATCGAGGTATCAACACATTTTTTCAACACTAGTTTGGCTCTAGTTATGGCTCTTTGTAGGCCTATTAGCGGATATAACCTGCGTATCTCACTTTGCAGTGAAATATTTCAGGAAGGAGAATGTCGCTCTAAAAGCCTCCCTCTTTTGGGAAAAAATCTCCCTTTTCTTTCTTTAAACAAGAATTTTGTGTTTTATGACATCAAAATAAACTTTTCGTGGCTCTCTCATTGTTATTAAATTTCTTTAAATTTCCCTGAAGCAAACATTTATTGATTTTCTAAAAAAACCTTATTTAAGAAGTGTAGGCCAAAAGGACACATTTCATATGATTCGCTGAAACCTGATGACTCCAAATATATAGCTTGAACTACATAAAATCTAACAGTTGACAAATCAGACTTTGCAATGGCTTGCGACAGCTTTATCCCCGTAATATGTAATTCCATAAAATACGTAGGAATGGAAGGTGAAAGATTATTTCCATCTCATCTGACTAGTGAATATCAGAATGTCGAAGATAATGTCAGATTTTCATAATATTGAAGTAGTTATGACCTTGCAATTTGCGACAGATATATCCGTCGCGAAGGATTACCAGTGGCAAACTTTTTTCTGAAGTGTTAATTACGATAAGGTTTTCATCAAGGATAAGTTCTCATTCCGTTGTTACAAACTGAAATGGTTATTTTAAAGCATTTGCTGTCATGTCGTACAGGACGTTTTCAGCAGAAAAAAGCTTCTATAGCTTCTTCCAAAAGAAACGCTCGGCAAATATTGAAGACATCATTGGACCCAGCGTAGTCGCATCTACCGAAATTATCACCTCTTGGACTAATTTTAGTGTAAAATTCGTGCACAAATATAAGCATTGTTGGGAGCTCTCCAACAATAAAATTTGCTTACCAAATGCCGTTAATTTAGTGGGACAGGACGTGGTTTGCAAATGTGCAGCAGCTTGGAACAGACAAGAGGGCGCTCTTCGATAAGATGGTTGAATTATTACCACTGTTGCTAAATGACGTTAAGGTAAACAAAATTCACCATTTTGCTAGTCGCTGATGGTAAGGTGAAGGTCCAACTTATAGTCTTTAGGAATTCACACCCGAAACGTGGAAGAGTTTCGAGACGAATTTCCCTGAACAAACCGCCGCATGGAGGGAGAGTGCGTTTTAATCATTCAGCGTAAGCTGTGCTGATTATCAAACTATCAAATTCACTAATTTTTAAGGTGAACCTCGTGTGAAGAAGTTCTACGAGTTTATTAAGAGCCTACCCAAGAACCAGAATATTGTCGAGGTGAACTTCAATGAGTTTCCCCATAGTAGGAATTTCTGGAATTTATTGACAATGTTTATTTACAGGATCCGGAAACCTTCAAAAAGTTCGTTGAGATCGGCCTCCAGAAACTTTTGCCAGCTGAAGCCGTTAAGGCCTGATCCTAACATAGTTTTTTTCGAATAAAATTTTTTTGGATTTTAAATTTTTCAAAGTAAAGCATGAGCTTGTGTTGCCTATGTTACAAGTGTGCCACAAAAAATTTTTTCTTGCAAGGTGTGCAA